GAAGAATGGGAATTCCAGAACACTTAATTATGCTCATGTGGAACCTGTACATAGACCAAGAGGCAGTCGTTCGAACAGAATAAGGGGATACTGTATGGTTTAAAATCAAGAAAGGTATGCATCAGGGTTGCATCCTTTCACTATACTTATTCAATGTGTATGTGGAGCAATTAATCTGAGAAGATAAGACTATATGAAGAAGAATGTGGCATCAGGACTGGTGGAAGACTCATTAACAGATGATACAACCTTGCTTGCTGAAAGTGAAGAGGACTTGAAGCACTTACTGATGAAGATCAAAGACTACAGCCTTCAGTACAGATTACATCTCAACATAAATAAACAAAAATTCTTACAACTGGACCAATAAGCAACATCATGATAAATGGAGAAAGACTGATATTGCCTAGGATTTCATTTTACTTGGATCCACAATCAGTGCCCATGCAGGCAGCAGTCAGGAAATCAGATGACATAGTACACTGGGCAAAACCACTGCAAAAGACCTCTTTAAAGTGTTGAAAAGCAAAGATGTCACTTTGAGGACTAAGGTATGCCTGACCTAAAGCATGATATTTTCAATTGCCTCATATAAATGCTTAAGCTGGACAATGAATAAGGAAGACCGAAGAAGAACTGATGCCTCTGAATTATGGTGTTGGTGAAGAATATTGAATATACCATGGATTTCCAGGAGAACAAACAAGTCTGTCTTGGAAGAAATACAGCCAGATTACTCTTCGGAAGCCAGGATGGCAAGACTTCGTCTCACATACTTTGAACATGTTATCAGGAGGGTATAGTCCCTGGAGAAGGACATCATGCTTGGTAGAGGGTCAGTGAAAAAACAGAGACCCTCGCTGAGAAAGATTGACACAGTGGCTGCTACAATGGGCTCAAACATAACAAGGATTGTGAGGATGGCACAGGACCAGGCAGTGTTTCGTTCTGTTGTACAAAGGGTCGCTATCAGTCAGGATCAACTCAATGGCACCTAACAACAACAATGGATCAAATACAGTTTCCTCATGCATCTAGTAATTTCTCATTGTACATTGAACATTTTGGATGATATGCTGTAGGAACTTCATGTAAACTGAATCTCACCCACTGTGAGTCACTTCTTTCAAGAGTCATATCTCTTCTGGTTTTTGTCTGCTTTTTGGTTGCTCTTTAGTGTCTTCAAATAGTTGGTTGTTTTTAATATTTTGTCTAGATTTTATAATTGTTATTACAGGTAGTTTAGCATGATACAAGCTACTCCACTACTACGAGAAACCATATAGCCTCTCTGGACTGAAGAAAGTGTCCTTCATACATTCCAACCCCCCTTTCAAATTTTGCAAACACTGTTTGAACTTATTTTCTCTGAAAATTCTCCCTGCAATCCTGCTCCCACACCCACACAAGTGAAAACAAAGACACAGAGAAAAACAGCAGCTTGGCCAAGGCCCCACAATAAAGCTGCTTCCTCAGCTGGAAATAAGTTCTATTTCCTCTGTTATTGATATCTCTTTACAACACAGATTTGTTTAAATATATTTTGCTGAAATATATATTATATACCTACTATGTGACCTGGGTCTTGTCTTCAAAGAGCTTCTAGTCTCATGAGAGCAGTACATATTAATATAAAAACCCACAGCATGAGGCAGAATGTTCTAAGTGCTGTAAGAGATAACCGAAAACTACTACGGGAACTCAGAGAAGAAATTAATTCCAGCTAGGAAGATTAACAAAGGCTTTACAGAGGAGGTGGGGGAAAAGAAAGTGGGTCCTAACTGCTGATTCAAGCAGAAACATTTATATATTTGTCCTCTGTTGCTTTAGCAGTATCATGGGAGTGGAGGTGATAGTGCTCGTTAATATTATATAAAGCCTTCTACTGAAAGTGTGATCTGCAGACAAGATACACTGGCATCATCTGGGAATTTATCAGAAACGTAGGATCTCAGGACCCACCCCAAGCCTACTGAATTAGAATTTGTATTCCAACAAGATCCTCCAATATTCAAACGCACATTAAAATTTGAGAGGCACTAATATAAAGCACTCCATCTTTCACTGGAGCTGTGATTTTTAAGACCCCACAGTCTACTGTCAGGCAATCACGCTTGTAGTAGAAGGGGATGGGGCAGAAGAACAACTGGTAATATATAATGAGCATCTACTGGATACTTTATATATATCTTGCCATTTAATGCTGATTAAGGAGTCTTTTGAATTCCTTATTTCCATTCTGCAAATAAGAAAACTGAAAGTCAAGGAGGTTAAGTAGCTGACTGAAGTATTCAGTAGATGCTTGGTACATATTACTCGGTGTTCTTCTTCTGCCCCATCCACTTCTACTATAAGTATGATTGCCTGAGAGTAGCATGGGGTCTTAAAATCATAGCTTTAGCGAAAGATGAAATATTTTACGTTAGTGCCTCTCAAATTTTGATGTGCATATGACTACTTGAGGATCTTGTTGAAATACAAATTCTGATACAAATACAGAGAAGGTGTCAGAACCTGAATTTGAATTCATATCTGAGTGACTCCAAACTTATACCACATTGCCTATCTCTTGTCTGTCAGAAGAATCAGGTACTATTTACAGTTCTGCCACTAACTAGTTCAGTGATCTTGGACAATTCATTCTACCTTTTTAGAACTGAATTCTTTACGTATAAGTTGATGGAGGTTGAATTAGTGAAAGTTCACAAATGAATCATACTCTCTCAGAAGAATGGATATTTGGACCAACCTTTAGATTAAGTGTTGGGAACCTTATGTGACAGTAAATGACTCAGAAAAACAGAACTAGCAATAGCGTAAAGAGTACAGGACCAGAAATGAGATGCCCTGAATTCTAGTCCTACCTCTGTCATTTATTAGTCGTGAGGCTCAGCTTCTTAATCTATAAAATGAAGATAAAGTATCTACACTGCTATTTCTTAGTGTGTTTGTTTCAAGTGAGATTATGTATGAAAAAGTGTTCTGTAAAGTGATATATTAATACAGCCGTTTCTCTAGCTACCTTAATTTTCATAACACGAATTATATATTTCTAAAGTAATTAATAAATGAAAATGATTTGTAATCTGCTGGCCATGGTAGCAATTGGGAACTATCTCTGGCAAAGCCATCATCTCTGTACTTTTATTTATCCCAACAATGGGAATAAAGATAAAAACATTTACAGACTCTATACCTGTGAGAGTGCTGGTGGTGTCAGAAACACAAAGACCATTATTTAGAGTGGGGTGTCCTTGCTCTAGAACATTCTTTAATGATGGAAATGTTTTTATATCTATGTTGTCCAATATGGTAGCCACTAGTCATGTGTGGCTACTGAGCACTTGAAAAGTGACTAGTGCAACTGAGGAACTGAATTTTAAATTTTATTTTAGTTAATTAAAATTTAAATATCCACATGTGGACAGTGCTACCATATCAAACAGCACAGCTCTAGAGTAAAAGTGAGATGTGGATTTGTTCCACAACATTAAGGATTTACAGCTATATTCTTTAGACCAGCAATTATTTTAATTTTTTTTTTTACAACTCTGAAGCTTTAGCTCTTAATGCCTTTTTTTCCCAAATCAAACAGAAAATTTTATAGCATGATTTTTTTCTTAATAAGGGGAGGTTTTTCTGGAACCCAATTATTACCTTATAGCAACACAGACAATGACAATAAAATGTGAAGGTTATATAAGCAAAAAAAAAGTTTTGTTATATATAAGTGTTTGTTCACCTAAAAAGATATACTTCCTCATCTTTAAGATTAAAAACCCAAAACTAGAAGGTACTGGGCCCTGTGAGTGGTCACTCAACCAATTACTGCCCAAGCCAGTCTCCTACCTTGCATTTTCTGCTCTCCGGCTTATGCACTGATGCAAGTAGAGATACTCCTGAGGTGCACTGGTGGACAAGGTGGGCTGGATGTTGTTTGACACAGGGGGCTCAAATGTGAACAAGGTTGGCTGGCTGGAGTGCGAAGGGGCTGAGGATTTTCGTTCTCGGAGAAGGTGCTGATTGGAGCTGCTGAGCTCAGCTGGGGAAGAGCGGGGGCCGTGACTTGCTGAGGAAATGTTTCTCAGGGAGTCTGTGAAAAGGAGAAAGAGCTCTGTGAATGAAAAGGAAAGAAAGGTGTCCCTATCCCAAAGTGGGATGTCAAAAGAAAGATAAGGAAAAAAAAAGTTACGAGCTGAGGGGCATGAATCCAGCTGCAGCATTCTCCCCATCTCACGCACTTGCTCCCTTTCTGCTCTCTGACAGAGGAAGGCTGTGGCCTCCTAGTTGTCTTGGTTCAAGAAGAGATGCTCTGTTCTTCTTGGACTGTTCCTAGAGTAGCCTGGGGGCCATGCTCTACCATGACCTGGGCAGTATCTACCCCCTTCCAGGAGACATCACTACCTTTGATGCAGGAGTGTGACATCAACCAAGACCAGCCTTTAGAGCCATGAGTATCACTGCCTTCCTCTTCTTTAGTGGTTCCTGCTCTCATCACCTTGCTGTAACTGGAAAGGTCTCTTCCCTAAAAGCAAAGGCAGGCTTTGGTAAATGAGACTTTGCTTACTGAAGGTTCATTAATTGAGACCTTGGACTGTGCCCTATTGTAGTAGTGATAAAAAACACAAATATAATTGGAACTGTCCCTTAAGACTGGTCCCCAGCTCCTCCTGCCTGCCCTTCCAAGTCCTCTGAGGAAAGCTATGTTTCCCACTCCCCAAATACTCACTACTCTCTGTCTATTGGTCTTTTTTCTCTCTTAACTCATATCTTAAACTCTCATCTATTATGTTAGAAAGGAAATGAGGTATTAAAGACAGATAACAGCTTAAGAATGCTACACCCCAAGTCAAGGTATTATGTGTTTGCCTGGTACTCTAAGCTTAGTCCAAATTCCTTAGCATAACATACAAGGCTTTTCACAGTCTAACCTATTTCCTGCTTTTCTCCTCTCATACAGAAGGCATATGGAAGCATCATCAGTCCCTGAACACAACAGCCTCTTTTATTCTTTGTTTTGGCTCATGCTGTTCCTTCTGCCTGGATTTCACTTCTACTCTGTTGGCAAAATCACATGCAGACTCTGAGACCCTACAAGGATATCATACTCTCTCTGAAACCTTCTTGGACTCAGTCCTTCTTCTGGGTGCCAACAGCACTTGGCCCATGCTTCCTTTATATCCACTGTCATTCTGCTTCCTTGCCTAGCCCATGGGTTTCTGAGAACAGTGACTGTGATGTCATTAACTCCGCAGTCCCAGTATTTACCTAAGCAAAGGCCAGGTACATAGAAGGTTCTTGGTCCTTGTTTGCAGAATAAGCAAAAAAAAATTGATTCAGCACTGTCACTTCCAACAATGAAACTTCTTGTTCAAAAGAAATAAAGATTTAAAGATGTAATTTCAGGCAATGTGATAGCTGCTGGGGGATAAGGTTTTGGTGGTGATGACTGACGGTGGCTTTCCAGGATTACTCAAATCACTTCAGAGACAACATAGTTCTCTTTCTACTCCCTGTTTTCTGACTTATTTCAGGCTCTACCCTTCTCAGTGCACTAGGCAGGATGACCAGCTAATCAATGCTCCACAATATTAGTTACCCTCCAGTGTTTTCTGATGCTGGGCAGAGCGAACTTCTGCCAGTGTACAATAGAAAAAGCCAACAGGCCCCTGGGGAAAACTGTTCCTTTGACAGCTGTATTGACCTCCGAAATGAATTCCCATTAAAGGTCTCAGAATGAACTGGATGTTTGTTAACAGAATCAATGCCTTCATCACTCCATTAGATTTGCAAGATGAACTCTCTAATAATAGAGGAGACAAGGTTTATGCTAGGGCACGGGAGTAGCCACAGCACCAAGAAATGAATACAAACTGCTGCCTGAGGAGAAGACACTGGGAAGGTGCAAAGAGAAAGCGTCTGGTTAGATTTTACCTTCTCTAGTCTCTTTCTGTACTCCTCTTTCTCTGCTCATCCATTCTATGGGGCATTCTTCAGGGTTCCACTGCTGTCGAGTTGATTCCGACTCATGGCAACCCTAAAGGACAGAGTAGAACTGCCCCATAGGGTTTCCAAGGCTGTAAATCTTTACTGAAGCTGACTGTCACATCTTTCTCCTGCGGAGCGGCTGGTGGGTTCGAACTACCGACCCTTCAGTTAACAGCTGAGTGCTTTAAGCACTGCACCACCAGGGCTCCTGGTTCCACCCCAGGTCATCCTGAAGTCTCACTCTCACTTGAGACTCTCCTGGGGTAATCCTGTCTACTCCCATAGTTTCAATTACCACCTATGTGATGACAACTCTCAAATCTTAATCTCCAGCTCAGTTCTCTCTCCTGGGCTCCCAGTCATATATCCCTCTGCCTGCTAGGCATCTCAATTCAGATGTCCTACAGGCAGTTTAAGCTCACTATCTAAATTACACTCCCCATCTTCCTCCTGTGTACCCTATATCTCAGTGAAGTACATCAACATCACCATCCAATCAGTTGTCCAAGCCACAAACTTAGGCATCATCTATGACTCTTCCCTGTTTCTTAATGATCATGTCATGTCATTATGTCATGAACACTCTTCAATGGCTCCCTATTATCCAGTAGATGACTTAAAATCTCTCTCTCTTCTTAAAATAATTTTCCTATTTATTTCTTCAACCTTGTTTCTCACCATTAATTCCTTGTGTTTCAAATGGAATTCCAGAAAATGTATCATTCTGTATATTAGGCTGTAAGCTTAATGAGGGCAGGGGTTCTGTCTCTTTTGTAATGGTTTTGTCCCTAGCTTAAAGCTTAGTATGTGACACAGATTAGATATTCAATAAATATGTAGTGACTAAATACATGAAGTACGCAGCATAATAATTCACTGCCCTCTCAATAACGTTCACTGGCTCCTCACTGCTTTCAGTATAAAGTCCAGTTCCTCAGTATGACAAGAAAGTCCCTTTTGTTTCAATCTATTTAATCCTGCTTCGTCACCCAATACATCTTTCATGTTCCCTATGTTGAATGCTTGGGCTATGGGTATGTATAAAAGAGGAGTGACCCATGAGAAGCTCTGGGCTCTCTGCCAAGAGCTCAGGCTGTGGAATCAAATCTGTGACCCAGTCTATTTATTTGCAGACCTGGAGGAAGTCCCCTCACTTCCCTGAATCTCGGTTTCCTATTTCCAAACATCATAGGATGGGTATAAGGAAGAAATGCATAAAGAGTCTAGAAAACCTTGAACATAGTAGGTACTCAAAATGTGCCTAGGCACATTGTAGATATTCAATACATATTTGGTACATAGTAGTCCTGACACATAGTAGGTATTCGATATATATTCGTTGAATGAATATACTGGAAGGATAAAAGAAATTTCCATGGCGCAAAACTCCAAATATTTCTGTTTCTCATGGTCAAAATCAGAGAGGTTTCATGGCTTGTTAAGACTACGAAGTAGAGGTTAGGATGAGCTGGGCTCACCGGCAACAGAAACTTGGAATCCCATTCTACCAGCATAAAGCCATGCCCATAAAACCAGCCAGCTCCATCTAATGGTCTTCAGCCTTAGGAAAGTTCTTTTAAAAGCTGTTTTGGCAGTAAATCTTGTTAAAATCCCACTTCGGCTTGCAACTTTAAAGATCTCTGCTTGAATTATGTGATTATTCCTTGGTGCCATAAAGCCTAAAACTTCAAACAAAGTTTTCTTGCTTATCACAGGAAAAATAATTACAAAGTTGAATTCAGAGACCAGTCTTCTGGAATAAGATGTTTCCATTTTAGATTCTGAAAGCAGCGTACCCCTGCCACCCCTTGTCCTTGTCACCACTTCCTTTTCCTTTCTGATGAGCAGCCTGTGCCCCAGTGAGATGAAGTTCTGGGGAGGCCTTATGGCACTTGCCTCATCAACAGGAGGCAGGAGCTTTGGTCACCTGGGTTTGGTGCTGGTCCCTTTAGATGCAATTGCCTTTGGTAAGCGGAATCTGTTTAATATCTACATTCCAGACAGGGCTGATTCCTAGGCCCGGTGTTGCTGGGATTCAAGCCTCCATCATTATGTACTGCTGTACCCTAAAATCAAAGTTTTAAAAAATATTTCCAAATATTTCAAAGAACAGAAGCTACAAGGTATGGTTGATGCATGTAACAGAGAAGATGCATTGGGCTAGCAGTCAAGAGATTTGACTCCATTTGTAGATCTGTCTTTTGCTTGCTATTTGACCTGGAGCAAATCACTTAGCTTTTGTGTGCCTCAGTTTCCTCATCTCTAAAAAGGGACTATTACTACTTGCTCTGCTTATCAGAGAGAATTAAAACACAGAAACAACAAAAACTTGTACATGAATGTCTATAGCAGCATTATTTATAATAGCCAAAAAGTGGAAACAACCTAAATTTCTACCAACTGATCAATAAACAAACAAAATGTGGCATATCCTTACAATAGAGTATTATTCAGCAATAAAAACAATGAAGTTCGGATATATACTACAACACGGGTGAACCTTGAAAACGTTATGCTAAGTGAAAGAAGCCAGTCACAAAAGGACACATTTTGTATGATTCCATTTATATGAAATATTCAGAATTGACAAATCTATAGAGACAGGAAGTAGATTAGTGGTTGTCTAAGGGATGGGAAGAGAGAGGAATAGTGAGTTATAACTAATGACTATGGGGTTTATTTTTGGGATGATAAAAATGTTCTTGAATTAGCAAGTGGTGATTTTGCAAAACTTTGTGAATATACTAAAAACCACTGGATTGTACACTTTGAAAGGCTGAATTTTGTGATATATGAATTATATCTCAGTAAAACTGTTTAAAAGAAAGATATATACACAAGCCCTTTGCAAAGTATGACATGTTAAATACATACAAGAGATTAGCAGTAGTTCAACTAAATATATCTTATCTTTTAGTTTTTTATTTCCCTTGTGAAGAGAAAATTGAACACTTGGTAAATACAAAGTCCTATACTAGAGCATATTGGATTAAGGGGCATTCTCCTCTTCCTACAGTCAGTTCCCTCTATCTCCTTTTCACCCTTTTCCAACCTCACTGTTCAGGGTTTCACCCCATAATCACAGCAAGGCAGTGTGAGTTTCAG